ACCCCCAATGACACACTTCCTCCAACAAGGCCAATCTACTCCAACAAGGCCACCCCTCCTAACAGTGCCACTCCCTGTGGGCTTCTGTGGGCCATTTGTATTCAAACCACCACAACAGTGAAAAAAGGAGTCTGGAATGTGGTTCCATGGTGGAGAACATGCCTAGCATGGGCAAAGTGCACTGGATCCTAGCACCTCAAAAAAATCAAAATATAAACTTGGTATATATACTTCAACCCACACTAATTTTTCTCCTTTCTTTTTATTAGAGAAAATTTACTCTTCATTGAAAGAATATTAGTATATATTCATTATATATCACAATAGATTTTATTATAGCATTTTCAGAAATGCATATAATATATTTTGATTATATTCACTCACCCTCATTATCCTTTCCTGCCTCACTCCAACTTTTGGTGGTCCTCTTTCTCTTCCCAACTAGTCCCCCTTCTAAGGGAGGGGTTATTGCAGGAGTGTAGGCAACCTACCAGTGGCTTTGCTAGTGAAGAAAGTGTCTCTCTGTCTACCCAGAAGCCCTAGCTTCCTGTAGCTTCTCAGAGTGTTTCATTGGTGAGACTTCTACTCCATCTTTCTGGAATCATATGCCAGATGATTCTTTTCTTGGGGTAGTGATTAGGAAAGCTGAGAGGAATGCAGTGAGCCAGTGGTTGAACTGTCTCTGACTTCACAGTTCTGACCCACTCTTCATTTTTAATTTTTAGCAAAATTTGTCTGTCACCAGTTTGATATAAGATTTCATGTTTCAAAGGAGAACTACCAAAAGATTTTAAAGTATGATCAACATGCACATATGGACAGGCAGGCAGAGGGAATAATTTAGCAGCCTGGGACTCGACTTGGTTTGAATTATGCACACACCTCAATGTTCTTGACAGCCTAGGACCTTTTTCTGCATATGGTAACCTAGAGACTTAGTCAGGATTTCTATTGCTATAACAAAACACCACGACCAAAAAGCAAGTTGGGGAGGAGAGGGTTTATTTGGCTTATACTTCTACATTGCTGTTGATCACTGGAGGAAGTGAGGACAGGAACTCAAACAGAGGCAAGAGCTGATGCACAGGCCATGCAAGGGTGCTGTTTGCTGGCTTGCTCCCCCTGGCTTGCTCAGTGTGCTTTCTTATAGAACCTAGGACCACCAACTCAGGGATGGCACTACCCACAATGGGCTGAGCCCTCCCCATTGATCACTGACTGAGAAAATGCCTTAAAGCTGGATCTCATGGAGGCATTTCCTCTACTGAGGCTCCTTCTTCTCTGATGACTCTAGCTTGTGTCAAGTCCACACACAAAACCAGCCAGTACACGGTTTTATAACTCAATATGTCAATCAAAATTGAGAATCACCCTCTCTAGGACCTCTTAGCAACCAAAAGCCTCTTTTTGACTCCCACAAAAAGAAGTCACAAACAATAATTGGGGCCCTTGAATACCTTTACTCATATGACCTACTGTCACCCCGATAGAGGTTCTGACCTGTTCTACAGTGTTACTTTGAATCAAGTTCTCTTGCTCTTTTCACAAGTCTGTGTGAGCCTTTATTTCAATTCTCTGAGTAAGAGGGCTAGACCTAGAGACATCCTCTGACCACTGGACAACATAGGAGAGTAATACTTTTCCACAGCCTATCAAATAATGGTTCAAAGAATTACTAGGCCAATAATCCGGAATTATACCATAATTACCACAAGAGCTAATAGAACTTCTAGCCATTCCAGATTGCTTCTGCCTTAGCAAGTTGAAAATCTAACCATTAATGCTACCTTGCTCATGTGTCCTGCCTCTCATGCCTTACCAGTGAGGGAACCCACCTGAAACACTCACCTACAGTGTGTTAATGAGAAGCCAAAACCAGAAATGAAGTCGAGAGAGCTCGCCCAAATTCAATCAGTACAGAAAAAGCAAAGGAGTTTTTCAAAGAACCCGGAGAGGCCTGTTGGCTCCATCTGCACCTCTGTCCTCATACATTCAAGAATGTGCTTTTCCATGACTTCACATCCAAATGTGGTCCTCACCAAGACCCACCTGCAGGGGCCAGAGACAAGCCATCTCCTACCACAGGACAAATCATGACCACCTTTAATGCTGGTTCTTCCTCAAACAATCCGGGTCTATGTACCTTTGTCTTTCAGCTTGCTTGCTTTCCTTTCCCTACTTTGCTAAGATAACAATGCATCTTGTATCCATAGAAACCATCTCCGGAGCTTTCCATCTTGAGACCAGCATTCTTACTCTCTGAGACATTTCACTCCACAAGCTCTTGTCACCCAAAGCCTAAATGACTCATAAAGTACTCATAAAACTTGTGCTGAAGGAGTGGAGGGAGAGAGCCTAGAGAAGGAAGATGACCTAGTGGGAAGAATGAAGGGCAGTTGCTCTGTGTTTCTCATAGAAATGGAGAAAATTTTAATAAGCTTAAAACTCACATGCAGCCTGCAGGTCTGAATTGAAACTGGCAGCTTATATTTGAGTATTTAATGGAAAATTATTTTCATTACTTGTGAAGTTAAAAAAATCCATTCTTATCCATAAGGCCAAGAAGCATCTGATATATATATATATATTAAGATCAGTCCAGCATATATATATAGCCTTGGACACATGAGCACACACACACACAAATAACACACACACACACACACACACACACACACACACACACACACACACGAGTGAGAGAGAGAGAGAGGACAGACACCATACAGACAGACAGACACACACATCATTCACATGCAACACAGAATTATAGACTAAAGATGAGTACTTGGAAACAGCTTGAATTTGATCAGGAATGGGGAAAATTTTATATAAAAATGGATTAAAATTTCAGCCAAGAGTTCTCTTGATAAACATTTTGAGAATGCATTGATACATCAAAATAGGAAAAAGAAAAACTTAAACCAGAGGGTCTAATGACAAGCCCATGTCCAGGCAAGCACTCGGAAACAATCTGTAGTGCCGTATAACAGTCATCCAGTTGGTACAGTGCCCATTGGCAGAGCAGCTGCTGGGCAGTGGTGAAGCCCTGGGTTCCATTACCCTTTGGCCAGGTAACAACCTTTAAAAACCTTTTATTTCCTAAAAAAAAAAAGAAAGAAGAGAAAAAAATGGCTATAGTTTGCTAGTCACACTCATAGCCAATGCATGAAGACCACGAACTTATTTTATTCTATATATTTGTCATACAAGAAACACAATAATAAAACATACAAGTAGTTGGACTCTATTATTTGTTGAACTATGTACAACGAAGAGCAAAGGCTTGATTGGGATCAGTAACAAGAATGCTATTGGCCATGGTGGTTTGTCAGATGCTGTTGCATGTTAAGGAGTTTTCAGCAAGCTGCAGCTGTCCTCCGGAGTAGATTGAGGAGTTATAGGTGGGCATTGGCAGATGTGGCCATAGGGACCCACTGTGTGTGAAAAATAACTGGTGTGTATTTTTCTGTCTCTGTCTCTTTCTGTCTCTCTGTCTCTCCCCCAGTCTCTATCTCCCTTTCCCTTTCTGTGTGTGTCTTGAATACAACCAAATGGAGTTTTTAAAAGTATAAAAGCAGAGAGAAATACTTTCTCTTAGAGAAGATCTCACCACTTGGTGGCAGTATACCCAAGTTTAGACGGTTGAAAATTAAAAGCAAACTGTGACATGAAATGGCACCAAATATCTACTGACCACAGTTGCAAAATCACCCCCAAAGTGCTCCCTGTCTGGCTGGAAGTCCGGCTGCTGTTCCTTATGCTGCAGGTGTCAGAAGCACCCTTCTCAGGCCGAGGAGGCTGACTCTGCAGTGTTTGTCTAGAAAGCACAGGGGCTTCACAGCCAACACGAAAAAGCCATCTCTAGGACCAAACACTTTGTTTCACCTGTAATTCCTGCCATTTTTGCCCTCATTATAGATCTGTGAAACTGCTTCCACACAGCAGTGGACATGATTAAATCAATGCTTAAGCCACTTTCTTATTTCTTTCTTTTTGTTGCTGCTGAGACCTGATTCATAATTTTTATATTTGGTGTTCCTTATAGAAATAGAAAAACCTCTCCCTCTCTCTTTCTCTCTCCTTCCTCTTATCAAGACCTTGCTATCTAGCCCAGGTCAGTCTCAAACTTTCAATCTTCTTACCCCAGGCTCCTAGGTGCTGGGGTTACAGGCATGCTCCTAGCTCAGCCAGGTCTTTCTTTTAGTGAGAGACATTCTCACTTAGGGCTAGGGAGATGGCGCAGTCAGAAAAATGCTTACTTTGCAAAAACAAGGACCTGAGCTGTGAAAAGGACCAACCCCATGTGAAAAAGGCCAGGGGCAAGCCAGGTGGTGGTGGCACACTCCTTTCATCACAGCACTCGAGGGGCAGAAGCAGGCAGGTCTCTGTGAGTTCAAGGACAGCTTGGTCTACAGAGTGAGTTCCAGGACAACCAGGGCTATAGGTAGAGAAAACCTTGTCTTGGAAACAACAACAACAACAACAACAACAAGAGAGAGAGAGAGAGAGAGAGAGAGAGAGAGAGAGAGAGAGAGAGAGAAAGAAAGAAAGAAAGAAAGAAAGAAAGAAAGAGAGAGAAAGAAAGAAAGGAAAAGGCCACTTGTAATCATAGCACTGGGGAGGCAGAGACGGCAAATGGGTCCCTGGGGCTTGCCAGCTACTCAGTCTAGCCTGCTTTGTCAAACCCTAGATCAATCAGAGACTCGGTCTCAAAACAACAACAAACCCCAAACAAACAAATGTGCGGTGCCCAAGTCCCAACACCTAAGGCTGTTCTCTGGACTCCGCATGTGCTCATGTACACATATATGCACGTACACACACATGAACATGACCATAGAAGTTCTCGTCCCTTTGAATGTCAACAACAAATAGGATTATACATGAGGATATCTACAACCATTCTTCTCGTTCATTTCGCGTTATACTCACAGTTGTTCTTATGTTACTTTACAGATCCTGTTGTGGAGGGCCATTGTTCAGGCATGGCATGGTCACTACCATCTTGAAATCAGAGCCATGGTGACAGCCCCAGGAGACCCTCAACAAGGTTGGGTCTATTGACACTTGATGGTAGAGGAGCACAGGAAAGGTAACCAGACACTTAACCTGAGATTCCCGCCACTCCCTTCTACGTGCTCACTCCTTACCCCACTGCATGTAATCCTGTCCCAGGTACACAAGGCCTCAAGACACGCTGGTGTATGTAGGAGGTGGAAGGTTAGCTGGATAGGGGACTTCAGTGAAGCCGCTTTCATGAGACATATCTTGGTGTGACAGGAGGGTAGGGTGGAGAAAGTAGCATCGGGATTAGCCTATGAAAGAAACCAGCGACAGAGAAAAAGGCTGGAACCTTGACCCTTTCTTACCCCTGCCAAGGTCTACATATAAGGGGCTGATGGGGCCCAATGCCACTGAGCACCTAACCTTTCCCAGCTCTCTGGCCTGCTTTCTTCCTCAGAAGTATGCTTTTTCTTAATACATCATCTCTGCTTCTACCATTATCCATTTGTCCCTGGTCCAGTTCCTTGTTTGGGGACACAATAATCTGGAAATCTCAGCAGATGGTAAGTCACTGGACAGGAAGTCATATTTATGTTCGTAATCTCTTAATCTCCTCAAAGGAAGCTAGGATCTTGTGTCTGCCCACTAGCCTGCCTGCTGCCTCCCTCTCTCCTTCCTTCCTTTCTTCCTCTTCACCTTTTGTTTTTCCTCCAAAGCACATGGAAACCAGGGACCCAGCTGTGGAGATTGTGGCCATGGTATCAGAACAGATGTGAAAGGAGACTCGACAACAGTTTGGGGCACCAAGTCCAACCTTCTTCACAGTTCATGATGCCACAAGGTCAGGAGGAAGAAGAGTTCCCAGATGTGCCCATGTCCCCACCATGCCTAGCTACTGGGTTCCATAATGCTACCACTCCCCCAGATATTCTTAAACTGCCAGTACTTTACCCATCTCCACTCCCCTTTTTTATTTTCTTCTAGTAGGACAGCCTTGATGCCCCAGCTTGGGCATGGGGAGAGTGATGGTAGTGGCAGAATTCATGTCTGTATTCGTCAGGGTTCTTTAGAGGAACAGAACTGATAGAGTGAATCTCTCTATATGTAGAAAGAAGATTAGAATGGCTTACAGGCTGTGGTCCAGCTAGTCCAACAATGGCTGTCTACCAATGGAAGATCCAAGAATTCAGTAGTTGTTCAGTCCACAAGGCTAAGTGTCTCATCTGGTCTTCAGTACATACCAAAGCTCCAGAGACATGGGCTCTGATACCAGTGCAGGAATGAACTTGCCAGGAAGAGCAAGAGCAAGCAGGCAAAGAGAGAAAGCTTCCTTCTTCCATGTCCTTTATATAAGCTGCCAGCAGAATGTATGGCCCAGATTAAAAGTGGATCCTCCCACCTCAATGCTCCAGATTAGAAGTGGGTCTTCCCACTTCAAATGATTTAATTAAGAAAAAAAAGTCTTACAAGTGACCAGTCACTTGGGTTAATTCCAGATGTAGCAAAGTTGACAACCAAGAATAGCCATCACAATGCCCACATCCTCTTCACACCCAGATGATCCCATAGAGAACCATCCCTACTCTGGGACTTGGGCTGTGACCAGAGCAGGAAGGACGGAAGTGTGATGTGAAGGCTGACTCTGTTGCCTGCTGTGCCTGGACCTGGACACTTGGCAGTTTCATGTTGTTTCCACCAGGGTTCATGAACCTTGATCTATCCTTCAGGGCATCCCCTGGCAGGAATGGGAGTTCAGAGGCTAGCTCTAGAAGTCCCAGAGACAAAAGTGAAAGACACAAATAGAAGCAGAGGCTGGTAGGCTAGGCTCAGCACTGTTCAGGGTCTGGATGCCTAAGTCCACCTCTGGGGAGTGAGGGGCACAGATCAGGCAGGGCAATGGATTCTCACCCCTCTCACCATTCTTGATTAACTTTTCTCTGCACTCCCCTACCACTGTTTTGTGTACCCCCAGGGAAAAACAGAGGATCCAGGAATAAGCTAGAAGGCATGTGGATAAACTATTTGGTCAAAATCCCTATGACCAGATGATCCCTATACTACAGGCTCTCCCATACCAGAATCTCCCTGACTGGGAGTCTCATATCCCAACAGGGATGCACACATCCCCGCAGGAATGCACAGATGTAGGATGATGAGGGAGAGTCTCATCACAGGGATAAAAAAGTTGTTCTTAGAAACCTGCTAACAATGATAAGATAGGAAGTGTACACAAGTAAGGAAAGAAAATCCTGCCCTATTTCTCAAATGACTGAGGCTTTCAGATAATTCACCAACCAGGAGCCCATCCACTAAGGTCCAGTCTCTTCTGAGATAACATTCTATTTATTGATCAACTCCTGCATGACATCCATAGAAAATTCCAGTTCCCTACAGATAGGGCCTCAGAAGCCACAGACACAGCTGTTCATTTTCAACAACTGAAATCTGAAGGAAGACAAAAAGGAACAGAGAAAGGCTTCCAAATTATTATATTTGTCCTTGTAGGTGCCATGAGCCAATCCATCTACCAAAAATCAACCAACCAATCAACTTTCCCCCATCATGGGCCATGACATAAATACAACAGATGGCAATTAATAATTCAGGCATTGACCCACCAGATGAATAACTCTCTGATGGAGGAACTTCATCAAGCAAGGCTTATGGGACCACAGACTCTGAAAATTGGTTGTTTCTATCTGTAATTTTTCTCATGTGCCACTACATTTCTTCCCTAAAACCAGCCCTGAATATTTTCCCCACTGCCTGTGCACTTATCTCATGTATATATTCCATGTACTGGGCACACATACATTTGTGGATGGTCAGGAAGATGATTCCTTTATAAGCTGTATAATTTTGATGAATAGAAACAATACTAGCATATATTTATAGCTCAGACTGACATAGGAAAATAACAATATTAACAATATTCTTGGTTGCAAAGACAGATTTTTACACCATTAGCTGATTTAAGACCTCAAAACAAATTCAGAGCAGACTAGTTGCCCCTGCAAATGAGCCGCACAGGGACAGATTCCCAGTGTCTATTGAACCAACATGAGGCATGAAGCAACTTTAGTGCCAGCTCTTCACTTGCAAAAGTCTGGCTGATAACATTAAAGACATAACTCCCTGAACAGATTCTCTTAGCAATTGGCTCTCTACACATACACCTAATACCAGTTTCATGATGCAAGACTCAAGGTTCAGCCAACTAACTGTTTGTTGTTTAGGTCCTGAATTTCAATGTCACTCTGTTGGGAAATGCTGAGCACTCAGCTATGTGTTTCCCTCCCTTTCTTGCCTTACAGTCTGTCTGACAGTCAAGCGTGGCCATGCCTATTCACTCACTGGCCAGTCAGCATGGCCTCCCTAGCTTGAAAGAAACTATATACTTTCTTATGTGTTATCAGAATGGCTCTGCTTCCTATTGTTTACTCAAGGAATGCTTTGTGACCCTCAAAATGTAACTCACATATTTGTCCAGAGTTTTTTTTTTCTGTGAGAGGGCTGTGTAGAAGAGAGATGTGGATGTGGAGAGGTGTGTAGAAGAGAGGTGTGTAGGAGAGAGGTGTGTAGAAGAGAGATGTGTGGCTGTGTAGAGATGTGCAGCTGTGTGGAAAGAGATGTAGCTGTGTGTAGAGATGTATAGCTGTGTGGAGACAGATTTTCAGAGAGAAATTTTCAGAAGGAGATTTTTCAAGCTGAAGTAAAGAGAAAGTTGCCATCAGAACATGTATGTTTCTTTACTAATTCCCCTCAGATAGGAAAGTTCAGCCCTTGCCACATTCATGGAGTTTTTGCATACCCTAGGTGCAGTCTTGGAGCTGGATCTCCAAAAGACCCCAATAACCCTTTGAAGCATAATTCTAATTAGTCTTATCAATAAAAACCAGGAGTCAGATATCAGGGTAAAAGCTGAAAGATCAGTGAAGCAGAGCAGCAGCCACCAAAGACTTCTTACCTCTCTGAATCCTCTGACCAAAAAGGACTGAGATCCTGTCTTCAACCTGCCTTATCATTCATTTCCTATCTCTGCCCAGTCTTATCACTTCCTGTCTCCTGTCTGTTCAGACCTCCATATCTCTATGGTTAACTAGTGATTAGTTCCTCACTCTGATCTCCAGGCAAGCTTTATTTGTCAGAACACAAAATATCACATGGCATTTCCCCTTTTTTCTCTAAATAAAAAACAAAGGTTTAAACTAACATAGAAAAACTATATACAATAAGTACAATAACTATATACAAATATATATAGGCAATAATTATATTAACAATGTCTAGTCCATTAGCATTTGACAAATTCAGAGAAATTTGATGCTCCATTATCTATCCTATCTTGGTGAGTCCAAAGTGTTGTATCTAATTCATTTTCTATTCTAGCTTGCATTACTAACACAAAACTATCTTTTTATGCCTCTCAACCTTATACACTTTATACTTTTTTAGTTTCTTAAACTATAACTATAACTATCTGGTCTTCAACTCCATCAGAGACCTGAGAAGGACATAATATTACCTGAGTAAACAGGAAGTGCAAAGCAAACAACTACTAAAAATGAAGAAATGACAGAAACAACTGGCCTGGACAGTCACCTCTGTAACATTGGGGCACCCATCTTCAGCCTGCTGGCATAGAATATCTGACAGACTTTTCTATGAAGCAGAATTTTTGAAGGACTGTCTCATCTTGTGTTGGCAAGTTCGGAAGTCACTTTCTTTTCTGTCCTGCTTGTCCAGTTTGGACAACATACTGTCAGCAGTAAAAGCAAGGATCTTTCTTGCCCAGTGGCTAATTTTGGCCATAAAGAAAGTAAACTCCATATGGAGTTTATTCAATGTCCATCATCTTCTCTGAAGTAGATTGGTGCTGCCAGGAGTAGACATATCTCAGTTATAATAAAAAAGAATGTTATATTAAAACATCTTAAATGCCATATTCTGTAGATCTCTGAAGTGTTTGAAAACCACTTGCCTATCTAAAATACATCTCTGGTTGATCATAAAAACATATCTAACATGACTACAAGTTTGACTGTAATAGGTGACTAACTGCTAACCTGCATTTCTTTGTTATCCTAA